AGTCTACCCTCAAAAGTTTGCGATCCAGTGCTAGCCGGTTGCCCTTGCTGCTGCCTCCGAGGCCATGGGACCGTCTCCCGCCGCCTCCACTTCCTCTGCGGGGCCACGGGAACCCTGTGAGAGCAGATTGCTGCGTCTGGCAGCAGCAGCAGCATCAGCAGCAGGAAGCCAAGCATCTGGGCACTGCTGGGAATTCGGAGGCCATGCCGTTGCCACGAGGGGAGCATGCCTCGATGCTGCCCCGCAGTGCCGATCCCGGAGCCAGCCCTGCCTCCTCCTCGGGCGGGCTCCCGTGGCCACCTCTGCCTCCCTCCCGAGCCCATCTCGGGATCGGCCTGTGGTGATGGCCTCGACGCTTTGAGAGGCCTGCAGCACCGCCCCGCAGGACGTGGGCGGGCCATCATCCGTCAAGCATGCGCGTGTTCCCCTGTTCTCCCTGCTGGCCACTGCCGCCTCAAGGAAGTGTTTCGTGCCATCTCGCGGGCGAAGGCTGCCCGCGACGACGAGGGGGGGGCGGGAGCCGGGTCGGGAGGGGAGTCAGCCTAGCTTTCCACCGCCCTGGCCTTGCAACCTCACAAGCGCCCTTGGCGGTACTTTCATATTCCCTTGCTCGGGCTCGGTGGTTGATCGGGCCCCAAGGCCGCCGCTGCGGCCACCCTCCCTCTTCGGCGGCGTCTTTGTGATTCACCTGGACGTCTGCTGGCTCGCTCGCTCCCCTTTCCCCTCATCCTCCTCCTCCGCCTCCTCCTCTTCCTTCTCCTCCTCCTCCTCCCACTGTGCTGGGTCGCGCCGCGCGCGGGTTTCCGTCGGGAGGAGATCCGAGCGTGGCTCCGTGCTGCGCTCGTCCTCATCCTCTCCCTCCTCTGCTTGGGCCTTCCTGCGGCTGCAGCAGGTTGCCCGCCCAGCACGACCTCGCTCCGCGCGGCCTGGGCCACGGCCCCAGGACTGTCGCGCCGTCTGGCCACCGTGCCCTTCGGGATGGTGGCTCCAGGCAACTGGGCCCGCGCACGGTCAAGGCGCTCCAAAGCCATATGGTCTCAAGTCCTTCTCCTGCTTGGCCGCCGCCTGGTATTTGTCCCCACGTCGTGACAGTCGGCATTGAGGGTTCATCCTGCCCGAGGGATCTGGGAAATGGGAGAAGTCTCCCGCTGCGCGCTCGTCTCTTCCTCCTCCTTCTCCTCCTCCTCCTCCTCCTTCGCCTCGGTCGGTCGGTCGGTCGGGAGGCGGATGGGCGGATGGGTTAAGATCCGAGCCACGCAGTGGACCGCGCGCGGGCGCGGGGGCACCGCCCGCCGCCGCCGCCCGCTAGCGCGGCGGCGGGCGGTCCAGGTGGGCCTGGCGCCAGTACCGAAACGGCTGGTTGGGCGTCGCGTAGTGGGGGGGCGACTAATGCAGGGGCAGCGAGGGCTGCATAACAGGAGCCCTCAGGGCCCGAAAGGGGACCCTTAAGGTTCTGAATAGTGCACCTTTCTTCTCCCCCTTTCCCTCGGCGGCGAGCGAGGGGGGGGGAAGGAAGGGAGAAGGAGACGGCCTTCTCAGATGGCTCGGAAGTCCCCCGGCCTTCTGTTTCCTGATCCTTCCCCAGGACGCATATGACTTCTCAGAATTCGCGAGTGCTTGTGAACAGGCCTTGTCCGTCTCATCCCCCCCCGGCGCTCGCCACCGACGATCCCCCCCAAGTAAGCGACGCCCAGCCTAGGGGGCGCCGCCGCCGTCGCCGTCGTCGTCGTCGGCGCCGCAAGAGGCCTTCGCACCTACGTCGCGGATGCCGGGCTCCCACTGCTGCACCCGCCAGTGCGGGAGGGCCGCGTGCTGTACCTCAGCGGCGAGTTCCCAGAGCACCCGGTCGTGGTGCGCCTGGCGCTGCACAGGCCGCCGTGGATCGGCGGCGTCCGACGGGGGGGAAGCGAGAAGGAGAAGGCCTTCTCAGAAGGCTGTGGGACGTCTCAGGGACCCTCGCGCCTTCTCTTCTGAGACGGCGTATGCGTCTTCGGGGAAGGCTTAGGAAACTTCTCAAAAGGCCGGGGGGCTTCCGAGCCTTCTGAGAAGGCCCGCACCTTTTCACGTTCCCCCCTCGCTCGCCGCCGATTGAAGAAGGAAGGGGATCATGGATGAGTTTCGGGGGTCGACTTAGACATACTGGCGTGTCGAAAAATTTGGGACGTAGGTTTTCTATAATTTTCGGCCTCTCGGGGCCCATCCCAGCAGGCCCCGTGAACGTCAAAAAACGGCTCGGGATTAAGACCTGGTCCCAGGGAGAGGGTCGAGACCTCTGGGGGTCGACGTTTTGGAAAACAACAAATTATAGCCGGAGTGCAGTATCCCCAAACAGGGTTTTTAGACCCACTGCGGTTTCCAAGGTCGATTGCATGCCCGTCCAGTGCGGGCTGGCATGGCATGTTAACTCCTCCTCCTCCTCCTCCTCCTCCTCCTGATCCTGCTCCTCCTCCTCCTCCTCCTCCTCCTCCTCCACCTCCTCTTCATCCCGAACGGCATCTCGGAGCCCAGAGTTGCGAGGATGTCTCCAGCGTAACGGGCTGGACCACCTCGCGCGCGGCATTTCGGACCCCAGAGTTGCGACGATGTCTCGGGCGAAACGTGCTGCGAGGAAGTCTCAGGCGAACGGGCCGGACCACCTCGAGCGCGGCATCTCAGAGCTCCGAGTTGCGGGGGCCTCCTGGGGCCTCCTGGGACCTCCTGGTGACCTCCTGGGGCTTCCTCCTGGGCCTCTTGTGGCCTGGACCCCACTTGGGGCTTCCTGAAGCCTCTTGGGGCTCCCAGAGGGGGATATCTAACATGTGGCCGTCAGGGCCCCCCAAAATGGGGGGGAAAGCAGGACAAATCAACGAATCGACACCGGATGTGTATTAACTGGACACGTTCTGATAGGGGGTCTCCTGGGGCCTCCTGGGAGCCTCCTGGGAATCTCCTGGGGGCCCCTGGGGCCTGTCCTGGGCGTCCTGCGGCCTCCTGAAGCTCTCTGGGGCCTCCTGGGAGCCAGATGTGGTCTTCTGGGTCCCCAGGCTGGACCACCTCTTGCGCAGCATCTGAGAGCTCAGAGTTGCGAGAATGTCTTGTGCGAAACGGGCCGGACCACCTTGCGCACGGCATCTCAGAGCTCAGAGTTGCGAGGATGTCTCAGGCGAGATGGGTCGGACCACCTCGCGCAGGGCATCTCGGAGCCCAGAGTTGCGAGGATGTCTCCAGCGTGACGGGCTGGACCACCTCGCGCGCTGCATTTCGGACCCCAGAGTTGCGACGATGTCTCGGGCGAAACGTGCTGCGAGGAAGTCTCAGGCGAACGGGCCGGACCACCTCGAGCGCGGCATCTCAGAGCTCCGAGTTGCGGTCACCTCCTGGGGCCTCCTGGGACCTCCTGGTGACCTCCTGGGGCTTCCTCCTGGGCCTCCTGTGGCCTCCTGGACCCCACCTGGGGCTTCCTGAAGCCTCTTGGGGCTCCCAGACGGGGATATCCAACATGTGGCCGTCGGGGCCCCCCAAATTGGGGGAGGGGGGCCACAAGAGCAGGAAAAATCAACGAATCGACACCGGATGTGTATTAACTGGACACGTTCTTATGAGGGGGCCTCCTGGGGCCTCCTGTGAGCCTCCTGGGAATCTCCTGCGGACCCCTGGGGCCTGTCCTGGGCGTCCTGCGGCTTCCTGAAGCTCTCTGGGGCCTCCTGGGGCTCCCAGGGTCCCAGGGGGGATATGTAACATGTGGTCTTCTGGGCCCCCAGGCTGGACCACCTCTTGCGCAGCATCTGAGAGCTCAGAGTTGCAAAAATGTCTTGTGCGAAACGGGCCAGATCACCTTGCGCACGGCATCTCAGAGCTCAGAGTTGCGAGGATGTCTCAGGCGAGATGGGCCGGACCACCTCGCGCAGGGCATCTCGGAGCCCAGAGTTGCGAGGATGTCTCAGGCGAAACGGGCTGGACCACCTCGCGCGCGGCATTTCGGACCCCAGAGTTGCGACGACGTCTCGGGCGAAACGTGCTGCGAGGAAGTCTCAGGCGAAACGGGCCGGACCACCTCGAGCGCGGCGTCTCAGAGCTCAGAGTTGCGGGGGCCTCCTGGGGCCTCCTGGGGCCTCCTGGTGACCTCCTGGGGCTTCCTCCTGGGCCTCCTGTGGCCTCCTGGACCCCGCTTTGGGCTTCCTGAAGCCTCTTGGTGCTCCCAGGGGTGGATATCTAACATGTGGCTGTCGGGGCTCCCCAAAATGGGGGGGGGCCACAAGAGCAGGAAAAATCAACGAATCGGCACCGGATGTGCATTAACTTGACACGTTCTGATAGGGGGCCTCCTGGGGCCTCCTGGGAGCCTCCTGGGAATCTCCTGCGGACCCCTGGGGCCTGTCCTGGGCGTCCTGCGGCTTCCTGAAGCTCTCTGGGGCCTCCTGGGGCTCCCAGGGAGGATATGTAGCATGTGGTCTTCTGGGCCCCCAGACTGGACCACCTCTTGCGCGGCATCTCAGAGCTCAGAGTTGCGAGGATGTCTTGTGCGAAACGGGCCGGACCAACTTGCGCACGGCATCTCAGAGCTCAGAGTTGCAAGGATGTCTCAGGCGAGACGGGCCGGTGTCTCGGGCGAAACGCGCTGCGAGGAAGTCTCAGGCGAAACGGGCCGGACCACCTCGAGCGCGGCGTCTCAGAGCTCCGAGTTGCGGGGGCCTCCTGGGGCCTCCTGGGGCCTCCTGGGGCCTCCTGGTGACCTCCTGGGGCTTCCTCCTGGGCCTCCTGTGGCCTCCTGGACCCCACCTGGGGTTTCCTGAAGCCTCTTGGGGCTCCCAGGGGTGATATCTAACCTGTGGCCGCTTGGGCCTCTCAAAATGGAGGGGGGGGCACAAGAGCAGGAAAAATTAACGAATCGACACCGGATGTGTATTGACTGGACACGTTCTGATAGGGGGCCTCCTGGGTCCTCCTGGGAGCCTCCTGGGAATCTCCTGCGGACCCCTGGGGCCTGTCCTGGGCGTCCTGCGGCTTCCTGCAACTTTCTGGGGCCTCCTGGGGCTCCCAGGGTCCCAGGGAGGATATGTAACATGTGGTTTTCTGGGTCCCCAGGCTGGACCACCTCTTGCGCGGCATCTGGGAGCTCAGAGTTGCGAGGATGTCTTGTGCAAAACATGCCGGACCACCTTGCGCACGGCATCTCAGAGCTAAGAGTTGCAAGGATGTCTCAAGCGAGACGGGCCGGACCACCTCGCGCAGGGCATCTCAGAGCTCAGAAGTTCGAGGATATCTCAGGCGGGCTCCCAGGGTCCCAGGGAGGATATGTAACATGTGGTTTTCTGGGTCCCCAGGCTGGACCACCTCTTGCGCGGCATCTGGGAGCTCAGAGCTGCGAGGATGTCTTGTGCGAAACAGTCCAGACCACCTTGCGCACGGCATCTCAGAGCTAAGAGTTGCGAGGATGTCTCAGGCGAGACGGGCCAGACCACCTCGCGCAGTGCATCTCAGAGCTCAGAAAACCGAGGATGTCTCAGGCGAAACGGGCCGGACCATCTCTCGCGCGGCATCTCCGAGGTCAAGGTTTCGAGGATGTCTCAGGCGAAACGGGCCGGACCACCTCGCGTAGGGCATCTCAGAGCTCAGAGTTTCGAGGATGTCTCAGGCGAAACGGCCCAGACCACCTCTCGCACGGAACCTCGGGGCTCAGAGTTTCGAGGAGGTCTCAAGCGAAACGGCCCGGACCACCTCTCGCGCGGCATCCTGGAGCGCAATTTTTCGAGGATGTCTCAGGCGAAACGGCCAATCCCGGCCAACTCAGAAACGAGAGTTGTGAGGATGTCTGAAGCGAAACGGCCCGGACCAGCAAATTTTTCTGAGGATGTCTCTGCTCCGACTTCCCTCGGCCAGAGTTAGCTTCTATCACAACAGTACCCCGTTCAGCAAGCTGTTTGGGGAACGATTGTCCAGCGTCTGGGAGCTGGGAGCGCTGCCTTCCTCCAAGTCGTCCTGGAAATAGTTGTTTTTCCATCCCCCGGCGAAAGCAGGCGCCGATCCGGCGTGTGAGTTTCAAAGACCTTCATATGTATATATATATATATATATATATATGTGTATGTATGTGTGTATATATATACATACATACATACATACATATATAGCCTGATCCTCAGTTCTTGAGCTTCAGCTCTGCTTGGGGTGGGTGCCGGGATGGCTCTGCCGGGATAAGGGGGGGTGGGGGGTCGAGTCAGTTTCGATGGCAAAATCGGGCCCCGGAGTGGCCGAAACATCGCTCGCTTCAACTTACCCTCCCGACACCTCCTAAGAGTGCCCAAAGACGTAAAATCTGCCCCATTCCCTAAGGACAACGTTTTTTTTTTTGTTATTTGTTTTTTTGTTTTTGTCGCTTCCTCGGCCTTCGCAGTGTCCAACACGGCCCAAGAGACCCCCAAAACAGGCCCAGAGGCTGTCGAGCGAGCCCCAAGTCGGCCCAAGAAGGGCCCAAGACGGCCCAGGAGACCCCCAAGACAGCCCAAGCAGGCCCCAGGACGGGCCCAAGAAGCGCCCAAGAGGGCTCCATGACGGCCCCAGAAGGGCCCGAGACGGCCCAAGAGGCGCCAAGGAGGCACCAAAATTGCCCTAGGAGTCCCCAAGAAACCCCGAGAGGCTCCAAGTGGCTCTTAAGAGGCCCCCAAAAGGCGCCCAAAAGCGCTCCCGAAGGCTTAGAAATTAGTTTCTACACATCCTCCAAGACGCCCCCCCAGGAGGCCTCGAAGATGCGTCGTAGAGGCCCCTCAAGAAGCCGACTCAATGACTCCAAGCTATTTACAAACCACTCAGGTTTGAACAAGCGCGCTGGGGCGAAAGCGTCCTTCTGACAGCGGGATCGTCCCAGATCGGCGGCGCCGGCCCGAGGCCTTTACAAAAGTTGTTTTTCCATCCCCTGGCGGTAACAGGCGTAAGCAAGGGGGGGAGGGGCGGGTGGTGAGGGGGCTGGTTACGCCACGATTCGAGCGCCGTCGAGGGAACGCCTAGGGATGGCTGGCCAGACGGCGCACGGGCGCGAATCGCAAAGCGACCAGGGGGAGGGGTGGTGGTGCCTGTCACGCGGGCGTTCTCGTCAGGTCGGGCATGTTATCCTACAGGCGAATGTTGGAGGGAACTGCAACATTTGTCTCCACATGTGTTTAACACGTGCTTGCTATCTTAAAAAGGTGTAAAACATCGTCACCATATTGTTGTTGACTGTGTTTAAACATTCCTCCTGCAGAGGGACGTCACCGCGAATCGTGCAAGCCGAGCTCCCGAGATCCGCACGCTGCAGTTTCTTGCACGGCGGGCGTGTTCGCCAGGCCTCTGGCCGTGCGCACGGGCCGTGCTCTCGCCCCCTCGTCCGGGCTGCACCTCCTCTTTCGTCCTCGGGGCTCCGCGGCCGTGCTTCGGCCCCCGCTCCTCGACCCGCTTCGTCACCCTTGCTCTAGAGTCGGGCCTGTCCCTCTACAGGAGGAATGCTCAAACATACTCAAACGTAGTCTGGGGACTATGTCTTACTATGTTTGGTCACTTCTTAGTGGTTGATTTTTTTGTTCGCCCACAATCCGCCTTTAGGGGGACATGCCCGACCTAACCCCTGCTGTCATCAGGGTGCTTTGCTGGGCTCATGTTCCACAACCTGCAATTTCGCCAGGTTTCGAGTTCTGGGGCCCATCCAAGGTCGGGGCGGGTCGAGAAATGGAGGGGAAAGGTTAGGTTTGGAGCTCAAGCCAGTTTTTTGTTTCGCGATGTTACGAGTTTTCGCAGCGCCGGATCTCAGGAGGGGCCTCTCTGAGGTCCCCTGGAGACTTCTCATTGCCACGACTGGATTCGTTTCACACTTCTGGCCAGAGCGAGAGCGCACCCCAGGAAAGGGCCTGGGGAGGGATGTCTTCATGGCCAGCACGAAAAGGAGGGGCACTGAAAGGTTGTCGCCGGTTTGAGGTTCCCCGCGGATAGCGCATCGCGCATCTGCAGGGGCGTGACCCTTTCCCCGGGGACAGTGTTTGGTCCCAGATCCATGGATGAGGGCCCAGGGGGCCAAATGACGCGCCCCATCATGGGGGTCGATCTCGAGAAGCAACGCCCAGAGTGGCAAATAGAGAGATCGTCGGAGCAGCCTGGAAAGTTGAGCGACCCAGCCTTTCTGCGACGCGGGCATACATCCACGTGCACCGCCTGGGGAACTGACGCCCTGGGACCCCAGCGGGCGGTGACTATGGAGCTGTTTTGGCCCCAGGGGGCCCGGATCTGTCCACCTCCACCGCCTGCCGAGGTCCTCGAAGATCGACCCCCGAAGCGGTGGTTATGGGCGAATCTCCGCCTCGGACGCCACCCCGTGCCCGACAGGAACGGCTTCGCCTCGGAGCCGCTGGGCCCCCTCGAGGGCGCGCCGGCCCACCCGGGCGCCGCCGCCGTTGCGCGCCTCAGCGTCTGCTGGTCGCCCTTTGCCCTCGTGCAGGCGTGCCGGCTGCACACGGTGGAGGCGGACCGGGCGCTGGGCGGCGGCGTGCGGCTCTTCAAGATCTCCGTGTTCCACCACGGGGTCGCCGACGCCGGCAACCGACGTGCGACGGCGGCGACGCGACCTCGACGGCGACGGCACGGCGGCGGCGTCCACGGCGGCGGCGGCAGGGCGGCGGAGACGACGGCGACGGCGGTGAGGCTTCAGGTTGCGCACGGACAGCCCCACCAGGCAGTGTAAGCTGGCTTCAACAGGCCCCTGGGAGGTCCAGGGCGGTCTCAGCATCTCAGGCCTGGGGCGGCCCCAGGGCGCCGCCGGAGGCGGCGCCAGGGTGTTGAGACTGCCCAGGACTACACGGGGAGCTTGTGGAGTCGGGGGTGGATAAGAGGGGGGTGATTTTTCGCAGTGCGTGCCAGGTCTGTAGAAGCCTTCCAACGTTCGCTGCAACGTCTTGCCAAGGACGTTGCTGTGTCTGGCAGCCATGAGTGGTTTCGATTTTTCCGCCCTGGCTGACGCCGCCGAGGGAATTCATGCATCGTGTCTGTTTTTGATTCATTGAGGGTATGTCGTCGTAGAAGCTAGGGGGGGATGTCATGGCGGGGGCAATGATATCTCCCCAGATTTCAGGGCGCCTCTTCTTACTTCATTGCGTCTCTGCCCCCCTCCCTGGGCCGCGCACGCGCCAGCGGCCATGATTTGCGCCCCCCCTCTTGGACGCCCCCCTCCTGACCGCCCCTGGTTGAGGCCAGCAGGCATTACCTCGGAGCGTGCGCAGCCTGGAGAAGTAACCAGACGACGACGACGAGGACGACGACGACGACGCCGAGGCCGAGGACGAGGACGAGGACGAGGACGAGGACGAGGACGACGACGAGGACGACGCCGACGACGCCGACGACGACGACGACGACGACGACGACGGCGACTGCAGGTCACGCACGCGTTCGCCACGCAGGGCCCGGCAGCGGACGAGGAGCGCGCCCGGTGGGTGGCCGACATCGCGCGGGCCATCCGCTTGCTCACCCAGTCGCTGTTCCCCGCCTTCACCCTGTGCGCCGCGGGGGGCGGGGGGTGGGCCTGCCCCGATCGGCGCCGAGCGCCTCTCCTCCCCGACCCCTCGCGCTGTGAGAGTACTCGGCGGGCGATCTCTGCTTGGTTCTGTTCTTGCATCGCCGGGCGCCAGGGCCTGTCGGAAGCGGCTCGAGGTGCAAGGCCCGTCCCAGGCGGAGGGGTCTAAAGTAGGCCTCTGGGGGCCCACGCCGTGAGACCTCCGCGGCGACGGAGGGCTGGGGTTCCGGAGGTGGCCTCCTCTCTCTCGCCTCGGGCGGGTGGCAAGGGGGGGTGACCTGAAGGGGGGGAAAGGAAGGAAGCGGCCCCAAAGGGCTGAAAAGGGGCGCTGAAGGGCTCATTTCGGGCCGTCTTCTTTACCCCCATGCCAGGTCACCCCCCATTACCACAAGCCCGGTCGCGTCCTTTCCCCTGGACCTCCCCCCCGCACCCCTCCAAGAAGAAAAAACGACACAAACATAAACTTGGGTCTGCGCTGGGCACCGCCTGGCGGCGCCTCTGGCGCCGCCTCTGGCGCCGCCTCTGGCGCGCCCTGCGCGCCAGGGAGGGGGGTCCAGCTCAGATCCAAGCAACCTGCACGGACCGTCAAAAATTAATGTTTCTGTCGTTGTTTCCCCAAACATCTGAACGGAGTGCTGTTGTGGTAGAAGCTAACTCCAGCCGGAGGAAGGGGACCAGATACATCCGCAAAGATCCGGTGAGACATTTGTGGCCCAGGCCGTTTCGCTTGAGACATCCTCCGAACTTGAAGCCCCTAGATGCCGCGCGCGAGGTGGTCCGGCTCGTTTCGCCTGAGACATCCTGGCAACTTGAGGCTCCGAGATGCCGCGCGCGAGGTGGTCTAGCTCGTTTCGCCTGAGAGCTCCGAGATGCCGCGCGCGAGGTGGCCTAGCTCGTTGCGCCTGAGACATCCTCGCAACTCGGGGCTCCGAGATGCCGCACGCGAGATGGTCTGGCTTGTCTCGCCTGAAACATTCTCGGAACTCTGAGCTCCGAGCTGCCGCGGGCGAGGTGGTCCAGCCCCTTTCGCCTGAGACATCCTCGCAACTCGGGGTTCCGTCCGAGCTGCCGCCCGAGAGGTGGTCTGGCGCCTTTCACTTGAGACATCCTCGCGCCTCTTGGCTCCGAGATGCTGCGCGAGAGGTGGACCAGCTCGTTCGCCTGAGACATGCTTGCAACTCTGAGCTATGAGAAAGTGTGCTCAAGGTTGTGTGGCCCGTTGCGCTTGAGACAGTATTGCAACTTGGGGCTCCGAGATGCTGCGGGCAAGGTGGTCTGGCCCGTTTCGCCTGAGGCATCCTGGAAACTCAGGGCTCCGAGACGGAGGCGACAGGAGAGAGGGGGTCAGACCAAAACGAACCAATTGATTCCATCGCTGTTGTTGAGTTTTGCTCTGGGAGGCGTCTGGGCGCCGCCTGAGACATGCTCGGAACTCTGAGCTCCCAGAAGATGTCGCACGCGAGGTGGTCCAGCCCGTTTAGCTTGAGACATCCCCGCAACTCGGGGCTCCCATCCTCGAAATTGTGGCCTCCGAGACGGAGGAGGAGCAAGACCCAAACGAATCATGTGAATACACATGTGTTGTCCAAGAGTGCTTTGGGAGGGGTCCGGGCGCTGCCCGGACTGCAGCGATTGTAGGTACGATGGGGGCAAAGGGGGGTGGGGGGGGAGGGCAGAGGGTTTTGGGGTGGTGGGACGTGGGGGGGAGCGGGGTGGCGGGGGGGAGGGTTTGGCTGGTTGTTTTTTTTCTTTTTTTTTTATTTTCCTTTTTTTTGTTTGTTTTTTTCCATTTCGTTTTTTTTTTTTTTTTTTTTTTTCTTTTTTTTTTTTTTTTTTTTTTTTTCCTTTTTTTTCCCAGATGTCGCACGCGAGGTGGTCCAGCCCATGTCGCCTGAGACATGGTCGCAATTCGGGGCTCAGAGATGCTGCGCGCAGGGTTGTCTGACGCGTCTCGCCTGAGACATCCTCGAAACTCCGCGGGGTGGTCCAGCTCGTTTCGCCGGAGGCGTCCTCGCAGCTCTGGGCTCTCAGGACATGTGCGCGAGGTGGTCTGGCACGTTTCGCTTGAGACATCCTCGCAATTGGGCTCCGAGATGCCGCGCGCGACAGAGGTGGTCTGGCCCGTTTCGCTCGAGACCTCTTCGAGACTCTGAGCTCCGAGAGGGAGGAGAAGAGGAGCGAGGAGGGGTGAGACCCAAGCGCACCATTTGGTTCCACTTCAGTTGTCGACTTGTGCTCTGGGAGAGGGCTGGGCGCCCCTGGCCCGACGGAGGAGGTAGCTGGCGCCGAGGCACGAGCACGATCCCTTGAGAAAGTGCAAGGGCTGATCGGGGGGGAGCCATTTCGGATCCAGGACGGGGGGAAATATATGGAGGAGACATGGAGGAGCAGAGAGCTCCGAGATGCTGCGCGGGAGGAATAATGGAGGAGTTGGACGGGATCCGGCTCAAACGCAAATTGTTTGAGGTCATCCTTGGCGAGGGTGCCTCCTGGGAGCGGCAGCGAGACTGCGACGGCATCCCTGGCATGGGGGAAGGTCCAAGGAAGAGGAGGAAAGAGGAGGAGGAGGAGGAGCAGCAGCAGCCGCAGCAGCAAGACTAGCAGGAAGCGCAGGAGAAAGAGAAGGAGGAGGAGGAGCAGGAGGAGGAGGAGGAGGAGGAGGAGGAGGGAGGAGGATCATTTCGGAAAAGGATTGGGAGGGGAGGAGGAGGAGGAGGAGGAGGTGGAGGAGGAGGAGGAGGGGAGGAGAGGAGAGGAACAAGAGGAGGAAGCGGAGGGGAGGTAATAGGAGGAGGAGGAGGAGGAGGTGGGACGACGAGGAGGAGGAGCAGGAGAGGAGGAGGAAGAGGAGGAGGAGGAGGAGGAGGAAAAGGAGGGGGAGCAGGAGGGGGAGCAGGAGGAGGACGATGTGTTGGAGAAGGAGGCAGAGCATTCCGAGGAGGAAGCGGAGGAGGGAGAGAACCGCGTGGAAGAAGAGGAGGCGCAGGAGGAGAAAGAGGAGGAGGAGGAGGAGAGGAGGAGGAGGGAGGAGGAGGAGGAGAGGAGGAGGAGGAGGAGGAGGAGGAAGAGGAGGAGGAGGAGGAGGGGCAGGAGGAAAAGGACGAGGAGGATTCACGGACGATGACAAGGAGCGCAAGGACGATAACGAAGACTACAGGGAGGAGTGCGGCGTGCATGAGAAGGAGCACGGCGTTAACTACATACAAGGAGGAGGAAGAGGAAGAAAACGACGAGGAGGAACAGCACCACGAGCATGATGCGGATTTCGTATCAGGAGGAGGAGGAGCAATGGGAGGAACGATGTGAGAAGGTACAAGAGGAGGAGGGAGGAGAAGGAGGAGGAGGAGGAGGAAGAGGAGGAACAGGAGGAGGAGGAGAAGGAGGAGGAGGAGGAGGGGGAGCAGAAGGAAAAGGAGGAGGAGGAGGAGGAGGAAAAGCAGGAGGAGGAGGAGGACGAGGAGGAAAAGCAGGAGGAGGAGGAAAAGGAGGAAAAGGAGGAGGAGGAGGAGGAGGAGCAGGATGGCGAGGAGGAGGAGGGAGATGGGGAGGAGGACAAGGAACAGGAGGAAGAAGAGGAGGACGGGGAGGAGGACAAAGGGGATCAGGAGGAGGACGAGGGATAACGAGGAGGAGGAGGAGGAGGAGGAGGAGGAGGAGGAGGAGGAGGAGAAGTGGGAGGAGGCGGAGGAGGAGGGGGAGGAGCGGGTGGAAGAGAGAAGGGGGATGAGGAGGAAAAGGTTCAGTGGAAACAGGAGGGCTAGGGCGGTAAAGAAGACTTACGTGGATGCGGGGGAAGAGGACGACCTCGACACGAATAGCCGGACGGCGGCGCCGAAGGCGCAAGCGGATCAGAAGCAGGAGGACGCGCGAACGTTTTTAGTGATCACTCTGGCTCAAGAGACGCTGCTTGGGGATACGGGACTCTTGCGATAATTGTTCCTCGAATCCCTCTCGCTCCCTCTTCCCCCCCTCTGTCCCCCTTCGGCCCCCCCATTCTTCGGGAGTGGTTGTGTAGGCAGCACAGGGCTCCCGGCCCCGAGCCCCTATGCGAAGGGGGGGGCAACAGGGGCGGGAGGAGGACGGTTTTGTCGAAAGGGTTAACTGTTTTCCCCCACCTACTCACCCTTCACCAGGGTTTGGGAAGGTTTTGGAGTGGTTCGGCTGGTTTGTTGCCCCAGAACCCCCAAAGATGGGTTTTTGGAGGGGGTTAAAAAAACATCCCGTGGAGGGAGGGGGGCTGGGCGGGGGAGCGGGGGGGGGGAAGGGGAGGCAGGCCTAGATCTCCGAGGCCGCGTTTATTCTCCTTTCTGAAAACAGAATAGACTCTACCCCCCCTGGCGTTATTCCCCCCTTTCGGGCATATAAATCATGTATGATTCTGAGCACATGCCCATCCTAAATATGAATTTACACTATCCCAGAGGAGCCGGGATCGGTCCCCCTGAGGTTCCCCTTGGAAAAAAACGATACGCGGGGACATCTTTTGTTTTAGCATAGCACTTTGTCACGAGTCCCAAGCAAACAGTAGGACGAAGTGCGCACGCGCGCGTCGTCGCGCGCGCATGCCGAAATCCTTCAACAACCTTCGGTGCCGGAAGGATGTCGCAATCGAGTTCCCCAAAAGCATACAAAAACACAGGGTTTCGCAACACTGGTTTGCTATAAAAGCTCACGCGCGAGCTATTGCGAAATCTTAAGAAAACCATCGGTTTTTCAAGATTTTCACAAAATGCTACTAACGGGCTTCGCGCACGCATGTCGAAATCTGTCGAACGCCCTTGCGCGTGTGCCGTCGCGAGAATCGTCCTGCAAAAAATGAGACGAAGTGCAAACGCGAGCGTCGTCGCGCGCGTATGCCGAAATCCTTCAAAATCCATTGGTTCCGGAAGGATTTCAAAATCGTGTGTTCAAAAAAACTACGAAAACACAAGGTTTCGCAACACGGATTTTCAACAAAAGCGTGCGTGCGCGCTCGTGTGTCG